TTAACTGTAGTGGTGTAATATATTTGGACATGTTTGGCTTAGTAATGCACAACATTCTGATTAGAAGATTAGCACTATACAAGATCAGTATGTGCATATTAAATGGGTTAAAACTGGCTGACAGATCTCAACCAATTGTACCCTGAAGAGACTGGTTTTTAAATCAATGATCTAGAAGAAGATAACTCATTGCTGATAAAGTTTGCAGCTGACACAAAGACTGGTGGGTTGGTAAATGGCGACCAGGACAGGTTACTGATATAAAGTTATTTGGATCACTTGGTAAGATGAGTGTAATGTAAAAAATCATGCCTTTTAATACAGCCAAGTGTAAGGCTATCCATTTAGGAACAAAGAATATAATAACCATTGGAACAATTTATCAAGGTTCATAGTGGATTCTCCATCACTGACCATTTTAAAGTCAAGATTGGATGTTTTTCTTACTTACATAGGATGGGGGGGGGGGGCTGTATCCCAGAAAGCAGTGACTCTGGAAGGCACCTAAATGTCATGGTGGATAACAAACTGAACATGAGCTCCTAGTGCGATGCTGTGGCTAAGATTGTAAATGCCATTCTTGGAGGCAGAAACAAGGGGATACAGTTTACGAATACTGTATGTTGATGTGATTATTGGGGTGTTTGCTGTATGAATATACTGGTTTAATTTATTTAGGGGGAGCTGTATGGAAAACAAACAGGAAAAAAAGAAATACCCATAAATGGCTCAAGCAAACATTTGAGACAGACAATGCCAGGATCAGAAAAGGAACCAGAAAAATCAAGAGGGCTAGAGAGACTCTCTCAAGAAGGGATTAGTTTCTGTAGAATTTATCTGAAGTGCCACGGTCACTATCCCAGGATGGAAGGGTTTTACGTGAGAAAGCCATGCATTGTGAATTGTTTTAAAATCCTTTTTCTCTATATGCTTTGTTCCTACTTCTAAAACAAATAGGTTGGATTGAGATGGCTGTCTAGTTACTGTATTCAGCACTAGTAAAAGGATCCTGCAGATAAGAACTGCAGATGCCAATCTGAGTAGGACCTGCTGGGTATGTACGGTTGATACACAGGATCCTGTAGCCCAAGGCCAGGTCTAAGAGCGGAGAATTGCATGATTCCACCCCAGAATAGATAAAGACACTAGGCCTCCGGGGTTGCATTCAGAGAGGGCAGGAAGTGGCAGGTTAGGGTTACTATATTTAAAAAATAAAAAAAGAAGACACTCCACGGGGCCCTGGCCCCGCCCCTTTCCCAACCCCAGCCCCGCCCCAACTCTGCCCATTCCCCGCCCCTTCCCCAAAGTCCCCCCCAACTCTCCCTCCTCCCTCCCAGCCACACGAAAAGGGCTGCCCAAGCGCTACGCGCTTCACGGTTTGCCGGGCAGCCCCCAGA